TAAAGACCCACTAAAACACAGACTGTGGGACCCTGCTGCCAAATTTTATATTTCCTAAATCCAGGGTGGGAGCAGGAATTTGGATTTTTAGTAAGTTTCTCGGTGGTACAGACACTACTGGTCCTAGGACTCTACTTTTAGACCTACTATAACAGTGTCCATAATTTTTATACTGCCTTTTTAGTGTAATGTTATGTTATAAAAATATCTCCACAACATTAGTCTTTGTGATTTTTGATGACTTCATAATGTTAAATCCTATTTAAAATACATTAGGGATTGGTAGGAGGGGTGGTAGATATATTTAAAGTATATAATCAATGTCAGAGTTCTATCTTATTAGCCCATTTCAACAGTCTGTTTACATTTTTTTTAATGTTTATTTATTTTTGAGAGAGAGAGAGAGACAGAGCACGAGCAGGGGAGAGGCAGAGAGAGGGAGACACAGAATCTGAAGTATGCTTCACGCTCTGAGCTATTAGCACAGAGCCCGACTTGGGGCCGGAACTCATGAACCGCGAGGTCATGACCTGAGTCAAAGTCAGACGCTCAATCGACTGAGCAACCAGGCGCCCCTCAACAGTCTGTTTAAAATAAAATGTGGCTGGCTATAAATTTTTCTGTTCAAAATGAAGGTTAAAAAGCTCTACTCCATTTATAAAATCACAATCAATGGAACTTGGTAATGATTCATGCCCTCCCATGACTACCATCATTGTATCATACTAACTACTTATCCTTTTCCCTTTTAGAAAATGATTCTTCATCCTCCTAATAACCTCTAACCTCACTCTAAACCCTTCAAAAAACATCCCTTCTAAGGCCAGCAAGACACATAGAACTGAAAAGCTTCCAGCTTCTGGGCAGGTCGGGGTCATCTATCATTAGACTAAAATTCCTAGAGGCACAGAGTCTAGAACATCCCTTCAGAGACTGTTCTAGTTTAATCTGTCACACAGCTGAGGCTGCCCTCTTACTTAAAGCTGTATTACAGCTCTTTAAACAAACATTTTCTTCCATGTTCGTAACAGTGACAAATACATACTTAGGACCTGTCTCATATACTAAACCTAGCTACAAAATCATTCCTAACCTTTTATCTCTGAGACAACTGTCCTCAGCTTTCCCTGGAGCTCAGCCACAGACAAGTGGCTGACAAGAACATCCCGGGTGAGTCTCCGTGTGCAGCACAGAAGGACTGCAGTACATTTCACTACTGCCGCGAACCACTGTGGACCTGCAGTAATTAAAGCACTTAGGGTGTCCCAGTAATCAATTGACATTAAGTTAAGAGTGAACACAAATGAGCTAGTGACTATGAATAAATAAATGGAAATGACTGTAAAAACCTAAGAAGACCAGATTATAACAGGTTTTTAAAAATAGCAACATAAGAGGGGTGCCTGGGTGGCTCAGTCAGTTAAGCGTCCGACTCTCAATTTCGTCTCAGGTCGTGATCTCATGGTCATGAATGAGATTGAGCCCCACATCAGGCTCCTCGCTGGGTGTGGAGTCCACTGAAGATTCTCTCTCCCTCTCCCCTTCCCTGCGCGCTCTCTCTCTCTCTCTCTCTCTCAAACAAAAAAAAAAGAAAACTATAAACTTAAGAACAACAACACTGCCTGGCTGGTAAGTAACACCACTGTGGCTGTTTTTCACAACTATTGCTTCTACTGCTAAAACTCACACACACAGATTAGCATTTTTTCCAGGTCATTTCAGGTCTTTATACGATTATGATGCATCATTGGCCGTTACAACGCACTTCTATCTCCTACAACATTATTCCCTTATGTAACTGCTTAAAGAAACTAATGGCTTGAGTACCAATTACATTTTGCTCTAATAGAACATTTAACAGTATGAAAGTCTGGTGATGCTATCCTAGAAAAATATGCAAACCCAGAAACACCAAGATTGAGCATGACGAAGTCATTAAACTATGTACTCATCGAACAATATTACTAAAATCTAGGGGGTGACAGCCATGTGACAGACAAAATCTTTCTCTGGGTTTAAAAATGGTCCTAGAAGTGTTTTCCAATCACCCGCTCACACAGTGAAACGATTTCCATGGGAAGTCACATGCTCCACACAAGCACCACACAGGCACACAGAAAGCCCACACCGCAACTGTGGCTAAAAACCATTGAACAGGCTGCTGCCCAGAAGCCGGGCTGTGCCACGGGGAGTGATGCTTACTTTGAAGAAGGCCTCCATGAGCATCTGGTCAGGGTGCAGGTCCCTCCACGGGAGCTTCTGGTAGGCACTATGGAAAGCGTACAGAATGAACTCGGGCATTCTGGGTGCTGTGCATGCTTCACAGTAATGCAGCAGGTGCAACCTGAGGGCTCCATCATCACCTGGCGACAGCTTATCTGAAATTGAAACGGAAAACACAGCTGAAGACATTTGGGGTTATCTTTAAAAATAAACAAATTAATACAAAACAGAAATTTGAACTGAAAGTCTAAGACCTAAGGTTCTCTATATTTACTCACTTTCAAAGATTTTCATGTGCCAGGAAAAAAAAAAACTGATGGCAAATTACTAACAAAGACTGGTATGTAATTACTCACTTGGGTAACTGGAATAAGTAGCTGGGATGTGGGAGAAAGCAGGGGCGATCAGTGTTTCTTTAAAACTTCTAACTATTTGGCTTTTTAACACAAATACACTTGCATAACCCCAACCACTTCCAGGTACCCCTTTAGTCTGCTGCCCTCGGCATATACGCGGCCACTGGCCTTGGCACTTACTCATTTGGCACCCGGGAGGAATCTAATATCCCTCAAGAAGAAATGTGCCACATGACTAAAACTTAACCCTCGGTGCGGTAAAACTAGATTATTGCTGTCACTCAGCCAAGTTAGTCTAAAATGACACTCCTGTGTTATCACTCAGTATTATCATCACTCAGTATTATCATCACCAGTATCAATTACTACAGTGCCCTCAAGAGTTCATGGCAATGTAACCAGGGTTTTGTCTAAAACAAAACTTTTCAGACTTTCTGGTTTTATGAAAAGGAATGAATGGAGTCAAAGAAGAGAGAGCCACGCACAACAAGAACAGAAACCTGATGATGTTTCTTAATAGCGGCTTTTGAAAAATGACAAATAAGCATCAGCCCACGGTACCAATCAATTTATCATTTCTAACATGCCTGTGCCCTTGGTTCGCATCCTTACTTTATTCTGCATCATGAAACACTAACATGTTTTTAACCTCTTAAGACAAGGTAAGAGTAGCATTTGTTCAAATGTGAATAAAAATAGTTTTGTTTAAATAAGTACGGATATGTAGGTACAAGACGTCTAAAAGGTAATTTCTTAGGACAAGACTGAGTTTCTAGTTCCAGCCCAGATACACCTAAGTTCTGTGAGCTCAGATAAATTCATTTTGCTTTTTGGGTCTTCATTTTCTCACAAATAAAAGGAGAGAGCTGGTTCAGAAGACCTCACTAAAAGGCTACAACAAAATACTTCTTCCTGCTTTGCACAGTGCTGTTTCCTCTCCTTGAACTCAGCTACCAATTCCTGATGTTAGCCATGTACCCTCCTGTACCCAAGCTACTTTCTTACTTTATATACACAGGCAAGAGCCTAAGAGAGTACTTGTCCCTTATACTAAGAAACCAAATATATACAGCCTTTGTGATTATAATTTAATGCTCAAATCTTTTTGATGATGGTAAGAAGAAGCCAGAAGTCTATCTTTCCAAAAAAAAACAAAAACAAAAAAGTGAGTACTATTAGGATTTCATGCGTTACTCATTGAACCCATACTTATCAAATAGACACTGAACCTACAGCACTGCCCAAGTCTTGTGGGG